TTAACCCAGCAGGGAATTCCCCTTGGAAACTCCACCACAGAAAAGAGTGGAGGCTCCTCCATCCCTTTTTTCCGGGCTGCAAACCAAATTTGGGGGTTCTTAGATAAGCTCAGAGCACACAGAAGGAAAAAAATTTAGATAAACCATCGTCAAAAAAGTGAAGGATCAATGTGATAGAAAATCAGGTCTAGCCAGTCAGACCCCTTAGCTGCAATCAAACACTGCCCTTCCAAAATCACTGGCATTGGATGGACAGAGAAAGATCCATACTTCAATGAACTCATATCCTCTCCCTGTTTAAATAGCTGTTATTTAAGTGGGTTAAGATATAAAGAAAAAAAATGAATATACATAAATCATAACACAAGGAAAATATTAATGCATATAATGCTACCCCCACCCCTTATTTCTGAATTCCATTGGATTTGGAATAAAATCACTGGAAGGACAAGAGAAAAAAATTCCTGCCTGGTGAAGAGAAGCACTAGAAAATGTGCAGATACAACACAGTATTTATACAACGGTATTTAAAAGTAATTCCAAATTTCTCATTGCTTTAGCATAAATACCACTCAAAGTTATTTCAAACACCATCTTGTTTATGTTGCTGTTTACAAAACGTAAATCCGTCAGAGCTGACAGAGTTACTCTGAATTAAAATGGGAGGAATTGAGGAAGAATTTGGCATTTTGATTCAATCTGTAATGTACAATTTACCTTTCAAGTATACACAGCATACTGGCTCTCAGGCAGAAGATAAGCAGCTAATAAATCAGCTTACATTTTTTTCAGCTCTTACTCACAGTGGAATCCCCAAAATTCATTTTATTTTATCTTTTTCCCACTCTTCAGCTTTTTCATTTTCCTTCCTCCTCTTCAGTCACCACAGGTTCACGTTTCTCGTTTTCTGTTTTCCATCTCTCAGCTTTGTTCTCTACAATGGAAGGACAGACAGACAGACAGACAGGGACACAGGCACTGCCAAGGGAACCACCTTGGACACCCACATTCAGGAGCATCTGATCGCCCCTCAAGAACATTTTCACTTTATAAAGGGGAGGGAATCAAACCTCATTTGCATAGGGGGTCATTCCATCTCACAGGGTGGTGGCTCTGGAAAGTCCCTTTCTGATTCCCTGGCTGATGAAGGGCCAGGCAGGTCCCACTCAGGGGGGAGGTGAGAACTGCTGTGCTGACCCTGAGAGAGGGGCTGACACCAAGGGCTCCATCCACCTCACTGGAGACCCAGCTGGGACATCTGGGTGCTCTCTGTCCTCAAGGTTTCAAGGCTCAGACCCAGAGCTGAGGAGCTGGGTGAGAGAAACCCCCGTTGTGCAGGAGGAAGCTCTGGTCAGGTGCTCGATACTTGGGCTTCCTGTGTGCACAGTCCGCGGTCCCATCCGGGGAAATCCTGAAAACATCATCAGCTGCCTGATAAGCTCTTCAGCTTTCAAGTACATACTGATTCAGTTTCGATCAAAACTTCATTTGAGTACAGTTTTAAAGTCTAAATAAAAAGCAAGAGAAGAGATTAGACTTGCAGTCTAACATCTCAGGTATCCAAAATAGTGTGACTGATTAATACTGGCATAAACAAATCTACTTCTCCATACCTGCATCAGGATGCTCAGAGCATGCATTCAGCTTATTAAAAAGGTGTGGAATTACATGCCTGGCTAATTAAATGCCTTTATTTATCCCCAAACAAATAACACAGCAGAGGCAGCAGCACGGAATGCTTACTCCACCCCCATGCTGTTCACCACTGACTTGAGGCAGGTTGTTCTGAGAGAGGGATTGTCTGAAACTCTGGTGCCCACTCACCCCATGGTCTTCTCCAGCAAAGCTGGCACGTGTGACAAGCCAAGCAAGATGCCACTACAGCCCTGAGTGCAGCACTCCCAGAAGCAGTGTGTGGTCAGGCAGTGCTTTCTGAGGGCACTAAATCACAGCCCAGGCATCGTCACCACCAGGCACTTCCAGCTTCTCTGTTTACTGCTGTTCACTGCCCTCTGCAGCAATAGAGGGCTGACTTCCTTCCTTCCCTGGGGAAGATGGTGCTCCCAGAAGGGGGACCTGTCCCCAACCAGTTCAAACCTTTTCATGCAGGCATCAGAGATAAATCAGGTCCTGTGTATAAAAACCCTTGCATAGAAACAGAGCCTTCAGAAAGCAGAGTAGGCATATAGTCATTTCTTGCATGATTTCATAAATCATTCATCCCTGCTGAAAGTATTTCTTTGTAACAGACAGTGAGATAACACCATGAGTTATGAATTCCAAGAGGAGCTGGTGCTTAGTCCCATTCAAAACTACAGAGGAATCCAAATTACTTCTGAAGAAATTAGAATTTCTTCCTCAATACTGTTAAAAGCAAACTTTCACATGATTTCTCTTGAAAGCTGAGTTCTGTGGGTCTATTTCTGTGACACAGAGCCTTATACAAAGAGATATATATATTATTTTTTGCTTTTGGGCATCTAGTTGTCTGATTTCTTTCAGCTGAATTGACTTACAAATTTTATGAGCTCTCCCTCTGATTTCTGTCTCATTGCTTTAATAAGCAGTACAACTGATTGAAAAGAGAATAGGCTGATAAAGAAGGAAACTAAGGAAATAGTTCATAAATCAGGCACCTTTCATAGACCACTTTGCACATTTACAGAAGTTATGGCCCTATCACAAGGTAGGATTTGATTAGCCATTTCACAGCCCACTCTGATGGGCATATAAATTAGGACACTGTGCTCCTACCTCTTATGCAAGCACTGAGGAGCTGGTGGGCATGCTGGGGCAGCAGGGTGCAGAGGGGTGGTAGAAACAGCTCTTCTGTGCACTCCTGATGGCCTGTGCAGCCTCCAGAACCAGAGCTCTGCTCGTGGACAAGCTCATGAGGGAGGGAGGGACACGCCAGGACAGGAGAGCTGCAGCCACCCTCCAGGACATGCTTTTCTGCACTGGGAAGTGTTCCCAGAAGGAAATGCCTGCAGAGGGTCATGCAGAGGCATTCACCTTCCCCCCAGGAGTCTCTTTGTGTACGTGGGTGCACATCCACGCACATATTTCTTTTCCTGAAGGAGGAATTTTGCTCCACAGTTGCACAGAGGGCTGGGGTATTGCCAGAACTGCCCCCAGCTTTGCTCAGTGTCCCCCACAACAGCCAGAGTATCTGCCCTAGTGCCTTAAAACCCCACCAGAGTTGTTCTACTCAGGTTTATCATTCTCTTCATTATTTTGCTGTGACTGGCTGTAACATCTGTGAAGGCAAGGCTGCGAGAGCTGGTACAACACAGATGCCACAGACCACAGCACACCCAGAGTCTGCTGGCACAACTGCATCCTGGGCTCCCTCCCCTCTGCTGCCCAGGACAAGCCCTGGGCTTGCCTGCATCCTGCCCTGGTGACAAGTGGTGCTCCCTGCCCTGAATGCAGCATTTCTGTGGGTGAAGAAACTCCACTGCTGCCTCATCAGGCAGCTCGAGGGGAAAGAAGTGCTGCAAAGTGGTGCCGGGCAGCACAGCACAGTGAGTGTCATGGGCTGCAGAAATGGCTTCACTGGATGCTCTGCAGGCAGAAGTCAGAAAACAGGAAGGTTTCAAAGGAGTTACAAAGGCAGGAAGTGAGTCAGCCCTAAGCAAGAGGGACAGCAAAGAGCAACCCCTTGTACTGCAGACACCACAGCCCCACAGCACTGTGGCAGGAGTTCTGAGCTGCATTTTGGGGAAGGCACTAAAGAGGCCCTGGGGTACCTCCAGGCACACCAATTACATCTAAAAATAGAACCTGGGTACGAAGTCACACAGGCAGCTTTGAAAATGATACTTTAGATATCTGACAGTGTTGCCCATCACAAAAGAACATTGCATTCCTGGTTGCAGTACCAGAAAAAACACTCAGCCCTTGAGCCTGGACAGTCACACGGGCACTGAGACCCTACACTGTCAACAACTCCCCACCAACTTTGGCAGGTTCCTAAACAGGGTAAAATACTTAAAGAATGAGCTGTTCCTTGGTAAGTGAATGGGGTTTGAACATGCTGGTCTCTCTCAAGCATACTGCTGAAGCTATTAGGAAGACAAATCACATTTTACTCTCTGTATTAATCAGAAGACTAGGATGCTAGTTCCAAATGAAGAAAAAACGTGGACAAGGACAGACAGAACTGGCTGAGTTCCAGCACTAGAAAAGGCCCTTGCCCCTCTGATTTTTCTGATAACCTTCTGTAAAGCAGCAAACCACTGGCTGCCTAACCAGAGGCCACATGAGGGCACTCTGCAGCCACTTCAGTGTCTTGCTTACAGGCACTTCGATGTAAAAACAAGCCTGAACTTGTTTCCTCCCAACTTGTTAAAACTGATGGAGACAAAGATGCATTTTGTCCCTTTCTTTTATAGTGACTGTTGCTTAACTCCTGTGTCTGGTAGACTGTACCCATCAACTTTGATCTCAGTAAAGGCAGACAAGTCAAGAGTCAAAAACTCTTAAAATGCAGTTAAGGATCAGCCAAACCCTGAAGTCTCTATATAGAATTTCCTTTACCTGTATCTTTTATCTGTTTCGTTTGATATTTCTGTGAATTCTTTGAAGTTTCAAAACAGCTCCCAGCCACTGGAGCCACACAGTGCTGTGACAATTAAAACTAGTCTAAAGCTGCATGAAAACCCAGCATACACCACCTCAGACAACCACCGGGGAGAGCAAACAAGTTCAAATGCAAAATGCTGGAGGAACACCAGCTCTAGTGCTTGATTGACACTACATTGGTTTAAACCCTTGCATGTGTTTTAAAGGACCACATTATGCAAAGTGAGGTCAGGTGGAGCTCAGTCTATCCCAGCCAGGTAGTCTAACCAGCAGGTACCATCCTGGATGTGGTTCACAACAGTGTATTAGTCTTGCTTACCAGCTTACCCAGGCTCTGCTTTGACTGCTGGTCAGACACCTCCTCCAAAGCACTACTCACACCTGGAGCCTACTGAAAATGAACAAGTCTGGTATCATGCGTGTTAGATTAGCTTTTATTGAAATACAGAACCACAGGAAATTTAAAACCCATTACAACATTCCTGCTCCTCATAAAAGTCAGCTGGAAATGGTGGCAGCTCGGGGAAGTGTAGTTTTTCCAGGCTAGCAATGAAGTCAGCGTGTGCTTGCAGCAAGCCTGAAGTTAGAAATAAATCAAATCAGTGCCTCAAACTCAGTGTACACTAACACAAGTCAGCTCCCAGTAGCTCAGCATAAACCTCCTGAACGACCAAGGGTCATACCGTTTTACAGTATGACCCCATCCCACCTAGCTGATAGTTTGCAAAGCACCACAAGAGACTGCTCAGTGAGCTGCTTTCCACTGAGACAGAGTTAATTTTCTTCCCATGGCATCATGCTCAGCATCTAAAGCTGGGGAAGAAGGAAGGAGTGCTATCTGGAGTTGGAGCATTTGTCTTCCCCAGCCACCATCACGTGTGATGGAGCCCTGCTGTCCTGGGGATGCTGAACACCTGCCTGCTGATGGGAAGGAGTGAATGAATTCTTTGGTTTGCTTTGCTTGATGCATGGCCTTTGCTTTAGTTAAAACTGATTTATTTCAAACCCATGAGTCATTTCACATTTTCTCTTCCAGTTCTCTTCCCCATCCCGCAGCAGGGGGGCCAGGAAGCAGCTGTGTGGTGCCATAAGTCAGCAGCATCACTGAGACCACTGCCTGTGCCAGCAGAGCTGAGCAGTTCCACTCAGCTTGACTACACCAGAGCTGTCTGCTGCTGGTGCACTGCTCTGGTACAGTTTAGACAGCTGGAGCCAACTGCCTTCCCTCCCAAAGCCCTGAGGAGCACTGTGTGTACTGAAAAGCATGCCAAGTTCCCACTTACTGGATGTAAATGACATCTCTGGAGTGAGGAGAGGGGTTGGCGTTTCCTCTACACGTCTGTGGTACGTCCTTGGGAATACCATGAGGGGAACACCACGCAGGTCGAGATTGCTCAGTTTGCACTCCTCAGGAACGTCGAAGTTATCAAAGTCTGTTTGAGAAAGACAGACTGAGTAAGTGTGCAGTAGCCTGGGAAGCTGCAAATTCTCCTGGACTGGATTAAATGGGAAGCAATTTAAAACAACACAAGGGGTATTTATTTGCAGTTACACCTCAGTTGTCCATGACATTCCCTACACTGACACTTATCCAAAGACTCAATTGCACAAGGTAACTGCTAACACAGAGCAGAAGCTTTTGGTGACTTCAGCAAGCACAGCACATGTTTCACCAACACCGAAGTCCCTGGCACAGCAGTTTTCACACACTCACATCCCCATGAAGAAAACTTTAAGGACACACTCTGAAGGACTGACAAAGCAAGCACCCTTACGTTTCAGAAAGACTCAGGAGAAATGCAATGCTGGCTTTGTGTGCCACAATAACTTGAACGAAGTCTTACAACAGTGCCAGCACTCATGGAAGCTTTATTGTTCATTTTAATAATTACACCAAGAGTTCTTACCTTGAGGATCAAAATGAAACATGTTTTCTACTTCTGGCCAATCTTCTTCAGACTCAGCACAATCTTCTTTACACTCTCCCAAATCTTTGTCAGGCTGTGAAGTACAGCTGTCTAATTCAGTCTTTTCATCAGTCTTAAAAAAAAGGAAAACACATTATTTGTGCTGCTGTATAATGTTTGTAGGGGCTCTCCTGTGCTGTTCAGGTCTACGCACCTGCCACACAGCCCTCAAGCAGGCCTACATGCTACAGCTTCAACACAAACAAGCTGGAGATGGGCAAGTGTTTCAGCAGAGCTTATGTAGTTCAGTACTACATACAGTGGCAACAAGTGGCTGCACTGGAATGTTTAAGCTCATAGTAAGCTGTTAGTATTTAACATGTGAATAAGGCATTAGGTGAGACTGTTTCCCCCAGAGCCATCTATGTAGGTGCACTACTCTGGCTGGAATAGTTATTTTTCTTCCTTGTAGTTGATATGAGACCATGTCTTGGATCAAGGCTGAGAACAGCATCAACACACAGAGCTGCTGGAGCTATTGCTGAGCAGCATTTACAGAGCCCAGGCCTCTTCTGCCTCTCACAACCCCAGCAAGGAGGCTGGGGGTGCACAGCTGACCCCAGGAGTGCAGAGGGACATCTCCATAGGGCACAGCAGCATGCTCAGCAATGACAACAGCCAAGTGTGCCAAGGCTGTCACTGCTCAGGGACTGCCAAGCATCACTCAGCTGGTTATGTTTTCCTTCGAGATTTCATTTATTAACTTGTCTTAATCTCAGCCCATGAGTTCTCACTTTTGCCCTTCCAGGTCTCTCACCCATCCCACTGAAGGAAAGTGAGGGAGCAGCTGTGTGGTGCTTAATCTGCCAGGGTTAAGCCACAACCAACTCCACGTTCCTCCCTCCCTTCCTGCAGCAGAAGGGTGTTGTACTCACTTTGACTGCAGTGCGAGGCTGCTTTTCCTGCTTTATCTCAGGCATCTTGCTCATGACTCCCGTAGCTGTATTCACCTTTCCAAGAGCCCTTCTCAGATGTGTGCCTTCAGGTACAGTGTTTACTTTTTTACCAAGAGCCTTTCCCCCAGGGTGAGACACGGCTGCAGATGTAGTGATTGCTTTGTTACCAAGAGCCTTTCTCCTAGAGCAAGTCATGGCTGCAGGTGGGAATGCTTTTTTATGAAGTGGAGTGCAAACT